GGAACTTTTGGTCTTTAAACTTAGAAGCAATCTGGTTTATGAGATTGTTGAACTACCAAGGCAAGGATAAAAGATGATATATAGCATAAAAGATAATAAAGTACACCAATATTCAGTGCTGAAAAAATGAGTTGCAAAAGAGAAAATACTGAAAATGATCCTCCATGCCATTATGTAGAAAGTGGATGGGAAAAAGTTTTCTGGAAACTCAGTGTAATTACTTGAAATTGTAACATGAAAGTCACACAGAGTACAGTTTTACTAAAAGAAATTAAGATCTTCAGCCCAGAGATGTAGCAGAAGAAAACAAAGAAATAGCTTATAGATTTTGTTTTTCTTTTTCTACATTTCTAATGTGCTTCAAGAGTTCTTTTGCACTTTAATCTACTCAAATGCCAGATGAGATACATCCCTGATACTATGACTGATTCCTGGGACAGAATGCATGTGAATATATGTGCTGAGCAGATCTGAATGATCAAAGTGTAGTGCAGAAAATGTCTACAAAGGACAGGTAAAAAGGGGGAGCTACGTACAAGCCTGAAAACAAAGTTTAGTGGTCAGTTGGTAAGACTTCAGGACAGTAGGTTCTAAGAGGAATGATGAATTTGAGAAGTCCATCTATTATCATGAGCTGAAAGTAATGCCCTTCCTTTTGGACAAGATAATTGATATAGAAGTCATGAACTGACCAAATTGTGTATTATAAATTCCGACTAGAAATTAGCTCTAGCTAGGGTTTGTTCCATAGAAGCATAGAAGTATACAGATGGAGCATGATGCATACAAAATTTGGGGGAATGAAGTAGTGAAGGAATTATAGAAGTAACAACGTAGGCCCTCAAGATTAATTTCAAAACTATTAGGGATATTAGACAGACCATCAGTGACCCAAGCTCTAAGTATTCAACAAAGAATGAGAAGAAACTTCTTAAGGCTGAACTTGAATGAAATAAGAAGGTGTAACAAGTGTATTCTGTTGAGAAAAGTCTCAACGAGAGGTACTTGGGAGATGGAAGGCAGAATGTGCCCTAAATCATCAGAGGAACAAGAAGGATGTTTAACCATTAGAGTGAGGCTTGTGGGAAGGGAACTAGTTACTGACTGAAGCTACAAAACTAAAGCACTTTCCAGAGCAAAGTAGACAATTGTCAGAAGATTAAAGGACTAGTATCTGGATGAAAAATACTTTGTTTTTAGAGGGTAGTGTAGAAAGGTTCATTGTCGGAAGGCTGGGTCAGAAATGAAATCAAATGATGAGATACACAAAGTCAGACACATATGAGGATGAAGATGAGAAATTACCTCAAAGTCTAGACATCTTCTCTTTGTTTGTTTGTTTTGTCCTATTTTTTAATTTCATCTTCTCATTATCATTATTGTTATTATTGTTATTATTATTATTATCACTATGTGCCTGCTTGTATTTTAATAATAGAGAGAAAGAAGGATTGTGGATTTTACTGGGTATGGAGGTGGGAAGGATCTAGTAGGGAACAGAAGAGGGAAATTACCCAGAGTGTATTATATGAAGAAAACACATTTTTAACTAAAAATCATTTAAAATAAAGTGTAGGTATGTCTACAAGAAATAAAATGTCTGAGCAAGTATTGGGAGATGGCTCCTGCAGTAGAGTTCTTTCCAGTTTGAATACCCAATACCCATGGGAAAAGTGAATCTTTAACCCTGGTTCTGGGCTGTGAAGGTGAGAGGAGTGTATCCTGAGGATAACTGGGCATCCCGCCTAACCAAACTGATGAACTCAAGACTCAATGGAGACCTTGTCTCAAAAGTCAGCGCAGAGAGCAACTAAGGAAGACATTCACTGCCAACTTATAGATTGCCCACACACTAAACTAAGTGAATACAACATTTGTTAAAACTATACAAAAACTCAGAACCAATAGTTTAAGGAAATATCAGAAGATGAAGGAGACTCTAACAACTCCTTTCTGCTTATAAAAAAATATTTGTTTTTGGGCCTCACAAAAGAAAATCACAATTTATTTAAAATTATACATTACATTTCACAAATCAATAAATGCTCCAATTAATGGAAAAACCAAACCAATCACTTCTTGCTCCCATGGCATCTCCCTCATTAGGATCCTTCAGAAGTTGCCTTATGTTTGTATGATTAGCCATATCAATTTCTGTTGTACGATCTTGTAACAAATTTAATCCCAGCACTCGGGAGGGAGGCAAAGACAGGCGAGTCTCTGTGAGTTTGAGGCCAGCCTGGTCTGCAAAGCGAGTTCCAGCTCAGACTCCAAAGCTACAGAGAAACCCTGTCTCTGTGAGTTTGAGGCCTAGGTAATCTATTGAGTCTTGTGCAGTAGATCAGTATTCATCCCGAGTATACACATGGACTTTGGATTCCCATCCAACAATGTGAGATGAACTCTCACCCTGAACTCTTGGGGGAGGGTCTAGGCCCTGCCCTGGATGAAATGACAGACTAAGGACACCCCCATGGAGGGCGTCACCCTCCCTGGGGAAATGAGGGGAGGTTGGGGGGAGGGCACGGGAGGAGGAGAGGGAAAGGGAGAGGGACCTGGAATTGACTTGTGAAGCAACCTTGTTTCTAATCTAAATTTAAACTTAAAAATAAATAATAATTAAAAAAGAAATGAAAAGTCCGTTTGCTAACTCTCATATGTTCCCCTATCTGATGTACATTTTCTGTTTTGAAATACGGTGTGAACTCTGACAGAAATGCATCATCATCGTTAGGCACCCAAGGGATTGCTTAATACTTCGGATGAGATGAACTAGCTCCTCCTCTGATAGTGAGACTGAGGCTTCTCTTGAACCATGAAGCTGCTGACAGAATTCTTATACTCTAGCTGCATCAGCTAGCAAGAAAACAAGCTAGAGGAACAAAATCATGAAAAAAGTCCAGGGATGTTTTTTATATAAATAAATACTATTTTTAAAAAAGTGAGCGCTTTTAGAAGCATAAGGTGGGTTTCAAAGAGTCCTCCTATCCAGATTATTAATATGGAGAAAAAGCATGTTTTTTGTTTAATAAAGTCAGTGATTCTCCTTTGTTTTGACAAAATTATTTTGTTGTCTCAGTCCCTTCCATCTGAAGTTAATGCTGATTTTGTACATTCCTCAGTTTTATCCATAGCAAACTTGTCTAACCACAGTCTTGGGTTTTGCTAATTTTACTTCAGTGCTATTGTCTCCATCAAAGATTATTCTCTTTCTAATAATTTCTTGCAGCAATACTCTTCACTGGAAGTATTGTATTTTCCCATTTTTATATATCAAATGCTATCATATACTGTGTGTGGCTATTTTGTGGAATCTTTCTGTATTTTGTAATAATTAAGAATTAATTGTGCCTTACAGAAATATAAAACTATGTAGAATTCCTAAGCAGGATTTCCCACAAAGAAAAGCATCTCAGTAGTGGTGCTATGCTTAGCCTGACAGTGAATATTCATTTACTGCATAGTGGCATGGTGAACATTTGCAGAGATATTCACATATTTTCACACAGTAAGGAGAAGGATTGGGTGCATGTGTAAAGTAACGACTTACAGTAACTTTGTCAACTTTTGAAGATGGAAAACTCTATATGAGTTTCTAACTTTTTTATTACATTTAAATTTCTCCCATATTTTAAAAACTACCTTAAAAATATAACATTGAAGAAGACTGATATTTATAAATGTAAATGGCACAAATCTTTTTATACTAATGTTTGTTAACAATATTGCTATGATACTAAATCTTAAAATATAGCTACAAATGCTGATATGTCTATGAATCAGTATGCCTATTTCTGTTCTCTTCCTTCACAAAACCAGAAGACTTAGGTAAGTCAATACACAGTATTTAGAACCTAGATCCACATTTTTTTGGCCAGGTAAAAGGTAGAAACTAAAAACAATGTAAGTAGCAACTAAAAATGTTTATCCAGGAGCTGGAAAGATAATTATATTAGTGAGGTATCAACAATGATGCCTGGGCTTAATCCCTAAAACCCATATAAAAATCCCATATTGGTGGTATGCTTGTCACTCCACTGCAGCAAAAAACAGAAATGTATGAATCCATGTGGCTCATGGGGCCAGGTGCTCTAACCCACTTCAGGAGTTTCAAGACTGAAAGACTGACTCAGAAGTCAAGGTGGACTGCTCCTGAGGAATGGCATCAGAAAGTGGCCTCTGATCACTACTTCATGCACATATTTTGAGACTGGATAATTTTCCATTTTTAAGTATCAAATGCTGTCATATTTCTGCACATGGGTTTCATGGGCACACACACACACACATGCATCAAAACATGGCACACACACACAAAAAATGAAAAAAATAGAACCTCAAACATAGACAAATGGTAGGGTAGTCAATTGCTCTCTACAACAGAGCAGGGACTAGGAAAAATATTAGATGCATTCTGGGTTGTCGTAGCAGTCCAGGAAATAGGAAATTTCATGTTAGTGCTACAACACATGCAACTAGAATTTTTAAAGCAGATTTAATTCAGTTAAGTCATATCTGTCATTCATATGCATTACTTATAACTTAACTTTCTAAAAAGTCATATGTTTTGTGAAAGCCTTGTGTATTTGGTAAGATCTGGTGCACAAAGACCTGGGGGCTAGAGAAAAAGCTCAGCAGCAGAGCCCTTGATTCAACACCCCTCTTAATATAATCCAAGTCTAGATCCAAATACTGTGGAGCTGATAGTGAAACAGCAGGAAACTGGAGAGTAGGCATCTTGAATCTCAGCAGAAGGCACTTTTGAGGGAAAGATGACTCACAGGACAGCACTGGGCAACCCTGGCGTGAAGACTGTGTGTCAAAGATGGTGGTCAAAGTCTAGTGAGTTGGGAAATGTTAACTAGGTTTTCCTTCCATATTGTTAAAACTAAAAATACAGAAAAATATTAAAGCAAAACTATAGAGAGCTGGAATCAAAATCTAATCACCACAAAATTAGCATGTTACTGGAGAAGAAGAAGCATGATACTTAAAATTACCTTTTCATTATTAAAGATTTTCCTAGATGTGCAGCCTGCAAAGCAGGGAGAGAAATACTCAGTATCATCTCTTCCACATACAGAAGCATAGTCAGAGCTTTCACAGCCACAGTGATTATTACATGGAGCAGTGAGGTTTCCCAAGTTACCTGACCTGCATAGGTGAGAGTAAATGCAATTTAAACTGTCATTGAAATTGTTGATGCAGACGCTAACATGTCAATAAGATCCACACACATCCTTATTGGGATAATTTCTTTTTCAAAAATTTACTAACGTATAAAAAAATTATGAACCTGTGGACTTAAAGTCCTGGAGAGTTGGCTTAGCTCTTAGGAACAATTCCTCCTCTCCCAGAGGACCAAAATTCCCTTCCCAACATCCACAATGCAGCTCCCAGCGACCTGTCCAGTTGCAGGGAATCTTTGCAGTCATCAGGCATGCAAGTGGTATGTATACATATATGCAGGTATATAGTTATACACATAAGTAAAATAAATAAGTCTTAAAATGTACCCCTTGAATTTTTATATACTATAGCAAAATTATCACAATTTGTAAACTAAGAAAGCTATCATCACCTACAATGGACTGCTCCCTGCCCACTCCCCATACACATACTTCAAAGATTTCGTTTACCCATTTGTAATCCCTTTACTTACTAGTAGTATCTTCCTGTCCCTTTGTTAGGATTTTATAAAAAAGCAATCACAGGAAATTTCTATTTTCCTTGCTACTTCTGTACAAATAATCTTTATTTGATTTTCTATGGACATATGTTTTCATGATTCTTGCGTAAGTTATTAAAAGGATATTTAAATGGTGTATATGTTTTTATAGTAACTATTTTAGAGTTATTTTATGTCTATGAGTGTTTTGTTGGCATGTATTTATGTGCACCATGTGAGTGTAGTGTGGCTTTGCTTCTTGGTCCGCAAGGGTGGAGGGAATAGACATGAGAACAGGGTTCACACAGATGTGGGTACCACAGAGACAGCCCTGCAGGAGACAGACTTCGATGAATCAGTTCCACTTTATACAAGACAATAAGGAAAATATAGGATTAGGGAGCTTGGGGACAAACCCAATTTGCATTAAGTGGTACAGTGTTATCATGAGGCTTCTAGCACAAGTCTTAGTTATTATCATATGTGCAGCAGAGAAGGCTTCTAACAGGAATCCATCTGTACCAAGGGTCAAGCTAAAGATAAATCAGCTCTAAGTTTAGAGAACTTTCAGATAAAGTCAGTCCTCCCAGCCAAGGATATTCTCCAATAAGGGCAGGAAGAGAGCAGGGAGTTTCGCTGGGGAGATAGTGAGTCTCCATGCATTTTAGAAAATGCTGCCAGGCTGTGATAGGCTGCAACCTGACCAGCCAGCAAGGCCTTCCAAGTTTACCATCCATGAGAGCAAGCATGAGTCATTGAATCTCTTGGGAGAGGTGTTTCTGACAGTTATGAGCCTCTGTGTGGGAGATGGGGACCAAACCTAGGCCCTCTGATGGGAAGGAGAGTGCTCCTGAACCATCTCTCTAGCTCCCTACATTTCTGGGTTTTTAGCTTTTTTGACTATCTTTAAAATTCTTCATTTCATTTTTAGCTTGTTTAACATGATACATAAATTGTTTTTTCTCTGCAAACTTATTTTCTTGTTGATTCTTGGTTGATGATAATTTACATACTCTTATAAATTCATGAATATGAATATTTGACAATGAGATTAAAGTAATAGTCATATTTACCACTTTAAGCATTTACCATTTTTATCTGTTTGAGAATACTAAAAGTTCATTATGCCAGCTGTTTTAAAAACATGTAAGAGAGGACCAGGTACAACAGGCCCTGCATCTGGGCCTGTGTTCCAGTGTGTGGGCATCGCCTGGGAAGTGCAAAGAGCTTCCGATACCTGTGGGAGCCAAGCACCCCAGATTCCAGGTTTCCTCTCCCAACAATGAGACCAGGAAACCAGAGGAGCCAGGGAGACCAGGGGAGCAGCTGTTCCAGTGGGACCAGGTACAACAGGGCCTGCATTGTGGCCTGTGTTCCAGTGCCTGGGGATCGCCTGGGAACTGCACAGAGCTTCCAATCCCAGTGGGACCCAAACACCCCAGACTCCAGGACTTCTTTCCCACCAACAAGACCAGGAAACTAGCTGACCCAGGGAGACCAGGGGACCAGGTGGGAGGCTAAGCACCCAGATTCCTGGTCTTCTTCTCTACCCAAGGGACCAAAATGAGGAAAAGTAATAGAAGAACTACCAGATTATTGGACTTGCTAGCACCCACCAAAAGGGAACTCTGGTCCCCTAACCACCAGACCAGTAAGGGGCTCTTTCTGCACCCACTAGAAGAAGAGATGGGAAAGAGACAATACAAAAACACACTCAGCAACAGGAAAACAAATATGACACCACCAGATTCTAGAGACTCCACACCAGCAAGACTCCAACAATCCAATGCAAACGAAGCAGAAGAGAATGACCTAAAAATCACTTTCATGAAAATAATAGAGGCCCTAAAAGAGGATATAGGAAAGTCCCTCAAAGAAATGTATGAAAAAAACAAACCAAAAAATGCAAGAAATGGAAGAAGAAACAAAGCAAAAAATGCAAGAAATGGAAGAAAAAACAAAGCAAAAAAAATGCAAGAAATGGAAGAAGAAACAAACGAAAAAAGGCAGGAAATGGAAGAAGAAACAAAGCAAAAAATGCAATAAATGGAAGAAAAAACAAACCAAAAAATTCATAAAATGCAACAAATGGACGAAAAGATAAACCGAAAATTGCAAGAAACAATGCAAACAGTGCAAGGGTTGAAAACTGAAATAGAGACAATATAAAAACACAATCTGAAGAAAGGCTGGAAATAGAAAAGCTGGGCAAATGGCCAGGTACTACCGATATAAGCATTACCAAGAGAATACAAGAGATGGAAGAGAGAATCTCAGGTGTTGAAGATGCACTAGGAGAAATGGATTCATCAATCAAAGAATATCTTAAGTCCAACAAATCCTTCACACAAAACATCCAGGAAATATGGGACACCATGGAAAGACCAAACCTAAGAATAATAGGTATAGAAGAAGGAGAAGAAAACCACCACAAAGGGGCAGAAAGTATATTCAACAAAATCATAGAAGAAAACTTTCCCAACCTTAAGAAAGACATGCCAATGAAGGTACAAGAAGCCTACAGAACACCAAATAGAGTGGACCACAAAAATGTCCCCTCACCACATAATAATCAAGACCCCAAATATACAGAATAAAGAAAAAATATTGGGAGCAGCTAAGGAAAAAGGCCAAGTAACACATAAAGGCAGACCTATCAGAATTACACCTGACTTCTCCATGGAAACTCTGAAAGCCAGAAGGTCCTGGATAGATATTCTACCAACACTAAGAGACCATGGATGTCAGCCCAGACTACTATACCTGGCAAAGCTCTCAATCACTATAGACGGAGAAAACAAGATATTCCATGACAAAACTAGATTCAAGCAATACGTATCCACTAACCCAGCACTGCAGAAAGTTTTGGAAGGAAAACTCCAACCCAAGGAAGTTAACTACAACCAGAAAAACATAGGCATTAGAAAATTCCTCTCTATCAATAGCCAAAAGAACAAAGGGGTGAAATTCCACACATAATTCCACCACCACCAACCACGGCAAATCGAAGAAGAATGAGCAATCAATGGTCATTAATATCCCTCAACATTAATGACCTTAACTCACCCATAAAAAGACACAGGCTAGCAGAATAGATTCAAAAACAGAACCCATCCTTCTGCAGCATACAAGAAACACACCTCACCCTCAAAGACAGACATTACCTGAGAGTTAAAGGTTGGGAAAAATTTTCCAATCAAATGGACCGAAGAAACAGGCAGGCATAGCAATCCTAATATCTACCAAATTAGATTTTAAAATGAAATCAATCAAAAGAGATGAAGGAGGTCATTACATACTCATCACAGGCAAAATCCACCAAGATGAAGTGTCTATCCTGAATATCTATGCTGCGAATACAAAGGCATCCACATTCATAAAAGAAACATTACTAAAACTTAAATCACATATAAAGCCCCACACACTTATAGTGGGAGATTTCAACACACCACTCTCAACACTAGACAGGAATACCAGACAGAAACTCAACAAAGAAGCAAAGGGTCTAATAGAAGTAATGACCCAATTGGGATTAACAGACATCTATAGAACATTTCATCCACATAAAAAAGAATATACCTTCTTCTCACCACCACATGGACCCTTCTCAAAAATCGACCACATACTTGACAATATATCCAACCTCAGCAGCTTCAAAAAATTAGAATAACTCCATGCATCTTATCAGACCACCATGCTTTCAAATTAGACTTCAACAACAACACAAATTGCAGAAAACCTACAAACTCATGGAAATTGAATAATGCACAACTGCACAATTCCTGGGTCAAAGAAGAGATAAAAAAGTAATTAAAGACTTCCTAGAATTCAATGAGAATGAAGACACAACATACCCAAACCTATGGGACACTTTGAAAGCAGTGCTACGGGGGAAGTTCATAGCACTAAGTGCCCACATGAATAGTTATACTAGAGAATTAACAGCACAGCTGAAAGCTCTAGAACACAAAGAAGCAAATTCCCCCAGGAGGAGTAGATGCCAGGAAATATTCAAATTGAGGGCTGAAATGAATGAAGTAGGAACTAGGAAAACAATGCAAAGAATCAATGCAATGAAGAGTTGGTTCTTTGAGAAAATCAACAAGATAGACAAACCTTTGTCCAAACTTACCAAACAGCAGAGAGTGAACATGCAAATTAACAAAATCAGAAATGAAAAGGGGGACATAACAACGGACTCTGAAAATTCAGAGAATCATCAGGTCATACTTTGAAAACCTGTACTCCACAAAATTCAAAAATTTAAAGGAAATGGACGACTTCCTGGATAGCTATCACTTGCCAAAATTAAAAACAGATAAGCAATTTAAATAGAAGTGGTCATCAAAAGTCTCCCAACCAAAAAAAGCCCAGGTCCAGATGGCCTCAGTGCAGAATTCTACCAGAAATTCAAAGAACAGCTTATACCATTTCTTGTCAAAATAGTCCACGCAATAGAAGCAGAAGGGTCTTTGCCAAACTCGTT